ATAGGGTATATATTGGGGTTATATAGGGATAATGGAAAAGAAAATGGAAACTACTATAATGGATTATATAGGGATTATAGGGGAAGGGGGAAAGTTACTGCAGACTCCAAAGCAGGTTTGGGGGGCCCGAATGAAAGAGACAAGCTGAACCCTAAACGCTGAATCCTAATCCCTAAATCCTAACCCCTAAATCCTAAACCCTAAATCCTAAGACCTAAATCCTAAACCCTAAGCCCTAAACCCTGTAGGTGAATAGAGTCAGCAATTGGAATACTTACTGCTTTTTGTAGTTTCTAAGCTCCTTAGAAAGCTGGGTTACATACGGGATGATTTAGGGAAGTAGAATAGGGAGCTTATTAAGGGGGATACTAGGAGTTTAAACTGTAGCTCATATAACATGTGTGTATACATGGGTAGTTCCCAAAACAAGGGTCCCTTTCTTGTACCCCTAAATATTAATTGCCGGAATACAATCTATAACCAGGGGGGCTCATAAATTTGAAAACAACCCATATGCGGGTGTAAGGTTTTGGATTTAGGGTTTAGGTTCTAATATTTAGGATTTGGGGGTTTAAGGCCCAAGGGGCGAGGTTGGCAAAATTAGGTTTTGTGGGTTTCTAGTGTGGCGTTGCTTACATATATTTCGGATTCCCAACAGAGGGGCCATGATCTCGACCATCCAGCACTTCATTCCTTCTACTCCATGTTGTGTTGAACATTTAGACTCCAAAGGGCCGTCAGCGCTACATCCCTACCCTGAACCCTAAACCTTGATGTGTGTAGAGATTGCTGGGGATCCCTTGCTAGGCCTGAGTTCGATGGGCTTGAAGGCGCCTGTGCTTTTTTCTTCTTGCCGTTGAGGGGCTGCTATGTTCGCCTGACTGGAAGGTCTGCTAGCTGTGATCTGCAGTTGGAAAAAGGTCCGAGGAAAAAAGAAAAACTTTAAACCCTAAACCCCACACCATAAGCCCTTAAAGCTTTGAACCCTCCCTAAAACCCTGAGCTTGAATTCGAACAGGATGAGCATGCTGAGGCACGCGCGCAAGAAGCAGAGGCTAAGTGAGGGAGGGTGTCAGGATGGGAGGGTGGGGGATGGTTTGAAACAGTAGTAACATGAGGGTTTCCACAATCAGGACCCCGTTTTGTTGGGAGTTCCGATAATGAGGATGAACATGTATTGGGGTCTAAATTTGGGCCCCTGATTTGTTGTTTGGTTATATAAGAAGAGCATATTTCTCACTTTTTTCAACCAGCAGAGAACAGACACGCGATTTGGGGAAGAGACTCAGACGTCGGGAGCGTAGCGCTTCAACTTTGACATTTGTGGATGACCAAGCTCTCACCCTAGCTTGGTTCTCCAGTTCCTTCACAGTGAAATCCTTCCGCGCCCAACCTCCATCCTCTCCATTGTTAACAGCGTTTGGACAGACAGAAACAACCGGCAAGGAGTATTTCCGGATCGTGCTGCCGGGAATTAAGCAAAGCGGCTGTTAAGAACAGTCCTGCATGACCACAGTACACCATGAGACCAGAATTGTTGGTATGAACCCTACAGGCCCCATGTCATACAAAATTTCCGTTTCACTTGCCATTGTCTTTGCCACTCACGTATTACTCGTAGGCCTTAGTCTCAACCGCAGGGCTACGGTCTGAACCCAGTCATAAAGGTGCAGGGTATAGGGTTTGAGGGATTAGGGGTTTAGGGTTGAGGGCTCAGGGTTTAGGATTTCCATGGAAAGGCTCCCGTACGAGGCATACTCACGCTACTCACGCCTTAGCTAGGCGCTAGCACAGAAATCCGAAACCCTAACTTACTGGTAGTTAGTCGAGAATGAAGTAATGGCAAGAACATTCCAATTTCTGGGGCTACGAAAGGGATCCATTCTCCATTCCGTGCTGACAACCTGCAAGCTCAGCCATTTTAGCAAGGTCAGCAAGGTCATTTGACATTCTCTTCACACCCACATCCATGTTTCGATCCCTTTGTCATTCTCGTGTCTTCATTCCTAGATAGAGCAAGGCCCAGGTACTAACCATGTAATTCTTTGTTGTGTCTCCTCATTTCACTCTTAAGACTAGCGCATCGTAGTATACCTACCTCATCCCTTTGTCGTTTTCCTGTGATTCTCCATGTTACCTACAAGCAGTCTCCCTACAACCCTAAACCCCAGCAAAGCCTTTCGAAGTCAAGACCCCAAACCGTTTCGGGTTTAGGGAGCTTGCCTACATTACACTTGTTGAGGTTTGGGTTTGCCGACCTTTCGAGATCCATGCTACACTTTAGGTGGACCCCTACCCTGTAATAGTGGTATCACCGGAATATGAGAGGACCCATCGCTTATGGTGACTATTGAGGGGAGGGGCGTCCGCCTAATCTATGCTATATGCGCATAGCCCCATGTAGGAGTTCAAGGTCTAAACTCTAAGCTTTCATCCCTAAACCTACGACTCTAAATCTAAACCACGAACCCCAACTCCCCATATGAGCTGGCAATGTAAGGCTTATGACTTGTGAGGTAACCATTAGGGGACCATTAAGGGTGGACATAGGGGTCGCTTTGGTAACTCAGCATAGTCAACTCTGTCTACTGTCCTCTATCAGGACCTGTGTCCATTAGTTACAATATGACTTCATAGAGGTTCCTCAAGTTTGTACTGACAAGGCCTGGAAAAAGCAGCGGAAAGCACTCGAGGAACCGCTTCTATGATTTGTGGTTTAGTGCCTAGGGCTTGGGGTTTAGGGCTTAGACCCTGAAACCCCAGATTAGGGTTGTCGCTCGATGGGATCTGCTATTTACATGAATAAGGGATCCCCAGATATACCGCAATCCTTTCATGTGAATTCCCCAGAGGGCCCTTCTTTTGGAAACTACCGTTCAAGATTCGTTGCTTTTTTTAGGGTATGTATTGTATTGTCAAGGGCTCAGGGTTCGAGGTCTGGGGTTTGGGCTTAGGGTTCGGGCTTGGGTGATTGCAGGGCGCGTGTAGAATTTTCAGCTTACGGTTGTGCTGATCCCATTGAAGGCTCTTCGCAGGTGAATACAGTGGTGAGTTGCATGCACCTCAAGACGCTGAATATTGATGCGCTCTCCGTAGACCTCCATGGGGAGCAGGTTTCTCTTCTTGACTGATCCCCATATGCTTTACCCTGGACAGTGTGTTTTATTGCTGGGCTACAACAAGTATCGAGGCTCCAGTCAGCCTCATGCAAGGTAGATTTTAGAACTACGATGTATCCCAACCTCCTTAACCCTAAACCCTAAACCCCTGACCCCAACTCTGCATCTCAAAAGTCCAATCCCAAAGCTCTACCGTTCATAGGACTTAGTAGCTACTTCTAGCTGAGGCTGTAACCATATAGGGCCCTGAATCGTCTGATGGGGTTACCCAGTGACAAGTAGTTCCTGAGTCCCAACCTCCAAGTAAACCCGAAAGCCTAAACCCAAAGCCTAAAGCCTAGATCCTAAAGCCTGCACCCTATCGGACATCCCTGAACTCTGCGCTTTCCGCTAGGCCCGGCTGCAGCAGGCGAGCGAGGAGCGGGATCGGATGATCGAGGCCGTGGGGTGGTTTAGGGTTCAGGGACAAGGGCTCAGGGTCTAGGCCTGCAGTGCTTAGCGTTTAGGGATTGCAGCTTAGGACCTAAACCTTTGGATTTCAAGGGTGTAGGGATTACCTGGACCCTGGAACATACCTTACAAGAAGGGACATACAGGGTCCAGGCAGGGCTCAGGGCGTAGGGTCTAGGGTAAAGTGCTGCACGTTTTTGAGGGTCTGGAGTTGAGCCGTTTGCAGCTCACTTGTCGAGCGCACAGCAGTTCAGAGTAGCGAGGTCATTTCTTAGGAGTCTTAGGATTCGGTGGAGCGCTTACCCTCCTTGTACTAACCTGGAACCCATGTAGGTCCCTTCTTAGGGCGTCCTTAGTTTGCTTGGGTTTCATAGCGTGTGTTCTGCGGATATCGTCGCGGAGTCTTTGAACTCTGCAGGCGAAGTGCGCATCATGAATTCCCACGCGGCTGAGGGTATAGGGTTTAGGGTACTTCGTGTATGGGAGGGCCAGGGCTTCTCCAGGGTTCCACAGGTATGGCATGGTGATAGTGGCTTTCTATAGCCTAGTGTCAAATCCCAAATACGGGTAACGACTATAAGTCCCATGGACCTCCACTTCCCTAAACCCTATAAACCCTAAACCCTGAACCCTACAAATCCTAATCCCTAAACCCTATACACCCTAAACCCAAGAACCCAAACCCCATAAACCCTTCACCCTATAAACTATAAACCCCATAAACCCCCATAAACCCTAAACCCTACATGTAGCCCCTACACCAGAAGGTTCGAAGTAGCCATCCCTGTGATTCGGAAGTGGAATTGGACAGGAAGGCCCCAGCGTGAAAGCCAGACCAATTTCTGAATCGTCTAGGGTTTAGGGTTGAAGGTTTAAGGTTTACGATGGCGAACCTGCACCTCTTTTCGCAATATCAAAGCCCGCTAGGGTAGTGAAGTGTAGTCAATAGAGATCCGACATGGAGTGTGATGTTAGTTATATCAAATCCTTGCCAGATCTCTTACAGTTTATGTTGAAGTTTCCCTTTCTCTTTCCATTCCCGCACAAATCCTTCTGTAGTCCCTATAGCCTATAACCTCTATCTGACCTTAAATAACTTGAGTTCTAAAGTAGGCCCTACATGAACTAGGCGGTTAAAACCTTTGTCGGCGAATTCTGATCACTGCAGCTGTTGTGGTTATCTTTATCATGGCACAGCTGGTTTCTGAAGGTTCTGAGGAGACCTCAGAGACCTCAACCTCATCCAGAGTACCCCATTGGGCGCTGGAGACATGGCAGCGATGGCACCCTGGATCATATTTTTTTGTCCTCATGGTGAATGCTACAGCTACAGCGTGTCTATTCCCTAGAAACTTTGAGTTCGCAACGCACGAGGGGGAGCCATCGGTTTCCTCCTGCCCTTTTTCAGACAGGATCACCTTCTCCAGCTTGATGCTTGCGAGTTTTGGAGCTGGTTGTGTAGCAGCATTTCTGCAGAAGCGGGCTAAAGCTTCATCTCATGCTTGTTTGGCCTGCGGCTATGCATACATCAACTGGTTTGAGTCTTTGTTGGGCTCGTTAACTTGCCTCCAAGACGATGAGGGTGACGACTCCTATTTCAGGTGCAAATATGGCTTCCTCCCCGAGACGAGGTTGGGCAAGGATTTTTTCCACAACGCGTTTGAGTTCTGCAGACTGGCTCTCTATCTGATTGGTCTGTTCTGGGTTCAGAGGCTATTGGAAAAGAGACTAAGCATATTAGAAAAAACCTCCAGACAGAAATATTGCAGCCGTTGTTTGAGGATGCTCATTTGGTTGCAAGCCCTGGGTGTCGCGCTCGTTGTACTTTCGTTTAGTGTCTTTGCCCATTTCTGGATGCGTGGCAGATGGTGGGAGGAGACCCCAAAATGGAGCTCATTGATGACAGGGGTGGCAGTCTCGCTGTTGACTTGGTTCTGCAACATGGCAGCAAGCACAGTCGTCGTCTGCTCCCTTATCCGATGCCTGTTCGTTTTGTGGAGAGTGTTACGCCTTGCAGACTCTCAAGTCGAATCAGCTGACGCAAGATCGTCTATATTACGCGCACGAAGATTTGCCTTTCTACAGTTGCTAGGAGTATCCTTTAGCCTGGTGCTCACAATTTGCGTCGTTCCAGCCGCACTCGTGACGAGTTTCGTGGGCGTTCTTCTTCCAGAGGAGCTTGGTTGGGTCGGTTGGGTGGCGGTTTCAATTCAGGCCCTGGATTATTTGGGGAACGCAATTGCTGCGCTGCTGCTGTCTGGCAGCCACAGGTTGTCTGAGAAAGGCGCAGAGGCCATCCCACCTGGCCAAGCCCGTCGACGGATGTGTTTCCAGGTATGCCATGCAAAGCCTCGAGCAATCTTAGCAAAAGAGACAGCTTGGAGTCCTGCATGGGAAGCAAAGGTTGAAGAGCTGTCGCTGCGTGGCATGACCTTGCGCAGCCTTGTCCGCTTCTACCAGGAAGAACTTCCTTCAATGCGAAACTGGAGCTATGTGCCCAGGGAACATAAGACTAGAGATGTGGTCCGCCGAGTGATCATTCCTCTTACTAGCAGGGAAGAATCATCATATGCAGCTTCAACTTTGAACTTGGATGGCCTACGAAGACCTGACGTCATGGTGACCCATAATTGGGGTAATCGCTTCAAGGACATGCTCCTTGGTCATTTCTTTTTTCGGGGTTCCTTTTGGCGTGGTGCTTCTTGTGCAAAAGTGTAGATGTAGGCTTAAGCTGCACGGCGGTGTGGGGTAAAAGAGGCGAGCCTAGGCTTTCAAATGATGGGACTGGGCTAAGATGTGGTGGAACTTTACTTGAACTTTAGCACTCCATAGCTTTGATATTTTTATTTTATTTCACATTACGAGATATTCCGCGAGCTAGAATTTAAATTTGTATTGGGAGCTAAAGCGCCACTAAGAAGAGTTTCAACGTGCGCTCGCTGCGGTTTGCAGGATTTACTTGCAGCCGTCATCGCGGATGCCCTACAAGAATGCAGCTTCAGCCTGGTGACAAAGCTGCTTGAGGCAGACCCCGCATTCCTTCAGGAGGTCTTGAATGACAGCGGACGCCTGGATGACACGTACTGGATTTGCGCGTTTGCAGTCAATCAGCACGTTTGCATATGCCACAGCAACCCTCATGATCGTGATCCTGTCACAAATCAATTGCACCCGGTGTGTACCTGTAGTAGCGTGAACATCTCAGATCCGGATGGTCGAAGTACGGAGTCAGAGATCAACAAGTTTGATGACATGATGTATCACCTTGCAACATTAGGAGGATGCAGACAAGCGATTGCGGTGGACCAATCTCTGGACTTGTTCAATCGTGCTTGGTGTGTCGCCGAGATTGCAGAAGCCAATCGTCTGCGCATGAATCAGGCACTGAAACTTGCATCCAGGGCGCCTATCATGCAGCGTGGGCGCGCGCTCGAGAACTTGGACGTTCGAAGCATGCGCGCATCCTCCGAAGCTGATAAAGAACTCATACTCGCTAGGATCAAAAACAACATGACAATCGACCAGTTCAACATCGAGCTGCAATCGCTCATTTTTCACGCGAAGTCTGGCCTTCTGGCATCTTGGAATGCTATGGATAGCGCACAGCAAGTTGGCGAAGTCGGCCGGCTAATTCGATGGGGGCTTGCTGATGCAGGCACTGGGAAGGTGTGGAAGGTATGGGAGGCCGAGGAATGATCCTCCTTTCCACCCAGACCCCCTCAGGTATGCATAACATGGAATACTCCCCCGCCCCATAACTTGGGAATTACTGGGAGATTCCGTCTTGCGGGAACTTATAGAGAACGGTCTAGGCAGGCAAAAGTTCTCCTGCCTATGGTCAGCAACTAAAAGTGATGCAAAACGTACCTTCGCGGTCTCTTGCCATGCAGTAGCTTCCATAAAGAGGGGGACCCAAATACAGACCCAAAAATCCGATAATCGTTCTTGTAGTAAGCCCAGCCCCTAGTTTTGAACCCTAAGCCCTATCTTACAAGCATGCCTTAATTTCTGGAAACCACCGTATAAGAAGCACGGCGCTCCTGGGACATGCAGAATGCAAAATCTTGATATCGACCTTAGTAGTAGCTGAGTGGACAACCTCTAATCGCTTGCTGATTTGTACCTGTACGAAAATGCTGACTGGACCTTAAAACCTTGAATATTTGACTCTCTCCCAGACACCATGCCATGCCTTAAATTCTTTGTTTGTTTGTTTGTTTGTAGGTAGGTAAGGGCTCAGGGTTTAGATTTCAAAGTAGGTATTATATTATTGTATGAACGTTTGTTGCCCGATATTAAGCATGTTGTGGTTGAATCATACGATGGTACAATTACACGCCCTTCCCCGCCCTAAACTCTAAACCCTAACCACCTGGTACAACCCTAAACCCTAAACCCAAAACCCTAAACCCTAAACCTTCCCCCTTTCCTGCAGGCCACCAATGAGCTCCGCGCCGACGTTCGTCGCCTGGAGCGCCAGGTTGGGTTTTGATCAACTTTGCGCTCGGTAAACCTACTGAGGTATATTTTGGAAATATTCGGAATTATAGAGTTATCTAGGGAGAATGCAACAGAAAATGGAAACTACTATTTAGGGTTTAGGGTTTGGGGATACATAGTAGGGAATACAGGATTCTATGATATAGGGTTTAGGGTTTGGGGTTTAGGGAACACAGGAACATAATATTACACAGGGTTTAGGGTTGAGGGTTAGTAGGGAATACGGGAATAGGGTTTAGGGCTTAGGATTAGAAGGGAAAAGGGAAATGTATTCTACAAGGATTATTGAGCGAATATAGTCTCTTATTCTCTACTAAGAACCGGTAGGTAGTTTTGAAAGCAAGTTTCAGTTTCCGCCCTAGACAACCATCCCCTCCAAAAGAAATCTCACACAACCATAGCATTTGTACACATATGTATATACACGCATTTATATGTGTATATATATATACATCTATATATATGTACATATATATACATATATGTACACATGTATATATGTACATACATACATATATATACACATTTTTGTACACATATATGTATATATACTATACACATATGCTGCCCCGCAAATGAAAATGCCAGCGCACGCCCCACCTCGGTTATTTGGTCTCCTGAAGGTGAGGGTTATACTCAGAGAAATTGGGTCCTAGATGAGGTATAGTCTAAACTCCTAGAATCCCCCTTAATCGTCCCTAGAATACTCCCCTATGTGATCCCCTATATAACCACCCTTTAAGGAGTTTAGACTATAACTCAGATTATGAAAGTCAGGGCTTGGGACTTAGAAGAGGTTAGGAGCATATGGGGATCTGTAGTAGTTATGATTTAGGCCATGCTTCGTACTTAAGCGGTATTGGGCTCTCTTGTTGTGCTTGTTGGCAAAATTTCAGAAACCCTAAAACCCGAAATCCTAAACCTCAGAGGTGTTTGCAGCGTGTTTGCTGCTAGGGTGACTGTGATGCGAGGCAGGGGAAAGCCCAAGTTACGACCGGGTAAGGTCCTATACCTTCGTCCTGTACAACTGCTATTCTAGAGAACACCTAAACCCTTACCCAATGTGTTCACTATATAGTCACCCTCAAGTAGCTAGAGCAGGGCATTGCCCAATATCACATTAAGATCCGCACATAGACCATATTCTATGTACTTAAGGGGACTATATATGCCTACCCAGATGTGATACTAAGATCCCCGCGTACCCCATAATTCTATGTACTTGAGGGGAATCTATGCCCACCCAGATGTGATGATTCATGGACAGCACCAGGAGTCGGGTTTCCGGTTACTGCTTTGTGAGGTCCAGTGTGGTTTCTTTGAGGAGGGAGGTATTCTGTCAAGGTTAGTACACTTACTGGTTCTAAGTAGGGAATAAGGGAATGTAATCCCTAAACAAAGTTTATGTGAGATATTCCCTTACTCCCTACTAAGAACCAGTAAGTAGTTATTTACACAAAGAAAAATTAGGGTTGCAGGGCGCTGGCAGATAGAGATGTTGATAGAGTTTTGCAATTTTCTGTGGGGGCTTGCAGGTGTTGAGAGTGGGGTTCGCAATGGTCTTCTAAGGTTTGTAAGGCGGTGCTCATCATACATCGTTTTTTTACAGATGCAGACAGTTCTGCATGTTTCAAGTGAGGCACAGAACCATCAGCCCCTACAAGTCCATTGGAAGTTTGTATCCCTATATACCTTTATTTAACCTTATGCTATCCTATATATCCCGATATACCTTTTAAACCTCATATAGCCCTACAACCCCCTTATCTATCACCAGGTGGAGCATACTGCGGAGCCGGCGCAGGAGGAGGCAGGAAGGGATTCCAGATTTAGGGTTTAGGTTCCGGCGGCTTCTAAAGTGACTTTGCAGTTCAACTTGGGTGTAGGGGTTGGAGGTCTTGAGAGAATTTGGGCTTGCATATTTTGAGGTCTGCCGACTAGGGTTGAATTTATAAGCTTCCAAGAGAGGGCCATGGGGTGTTTGGTGTTTGAGCATTTTGGGGTGAGGATTGTAGGCATTCAAAAGCTTAAGCTATGCTTCAGACTGAAAACCCCCGGACTCCTACATTGTTGGAGACACTGAGAGAGAGGGAAAGGGCTTCAGAGAGCAATCCACGAAATCGGCATTGCTGAAAGGACAGCAACAAAGTTTGGGCAAACTTTTGGGTTTCATGTTACTCTGACTATTAACGAATACGCCTGCGATACATTCATCATTGCTATGACTAGTGCAATCTTTTCTCATTATTAATTCAATGTCAGGGTTAACCCCCAACTCCATGTACCCAAGACCCTATTTGGGGCCAGATTGAAGGAACGTTCTAGGGTTAAGGCCTTGGGGGCAGAAGCTTGGTATGACGTTTGGAGGGGTCTGCAATTCTGCAACCCCAAGCTCCTGTTTCTCAATTTTAGATCTGAAGCCCCGAGCTCAAACCCTACCTGGACCCCCAAAGTAGGTAACTAGTGGCCCGAAACCCATAAGAGCAGCCAGCCAAGCCATTATTCTACATACTCTGGGGGTCCAGGCGCCCCTCGTCCTTTAGCCATACTCCCTAAATTCTAAACCCTAAACCCGCAACTCGAACACTCAAACCCCCAAGCACCCCAAACCCTAACCCCTAAACCCCTAAACATCTATATATATATATATGTAACCTTATATAACCCTGTTACATATTATATATATATAGCCTTATATAACCCCTATTATATCCCCTGTATACCCCATATTATACCCCATATTATATATCTATATAGATATAGCTTTATATAACCCCTATTATATCCCCTATATACCCCCTATTACAACCCTGGAGTTCAGGTGCCTTCCGCGCGCTCGCCGATGTCCGCTGCTTCTGTGATGCGACAGGCTGGGGAGGGCAGGCTTCCAGGTGTGTTGAGTTCCAGAATCTGAGGGTTTTTTGGTGGGTTTAGAAGGCTTCTTCGGTTTTTAGTGGTTTTCGGGGTCTGAGATTTTGGGTTTTTTAGGGTTTTGGGCGGTCTAGGGTTTGAGAGTCTAGCGTCTTTGGGTTCCGGGCCTCAGGGTTGCGGGTTGCAATTTAGGGTTGCGAGCTCAGGGTGAGAAATTTTGGATGTGAGGGGTTTAGGGGCCTGGGGTTGAGGGCTTAGGATTATGGGGTTCCATGCGTAAGGATTCCCTAAGACTTTATCACAAGGCCTCCTAGATGTTCCTAAGGTCAAATAAGGCCTCCTAATCTGGCCCCTTTAGGGCTTCCTTAAGGAGAGTGGCCAGCCTGACAGCAGGAATCATACTTCCCCAGAAGTCCTGGAAAACCTGGGTTGCTGTCAAGGAACTTGGATTAAGTTACCATATTGGGTATATATAGTAAGGAATAGGGTTTCCCCAATATGGTAACTTAAATTCAGTTCCTGAACAGCAACCCAACAAGGGGGGGCATAGGGCATATGGGTTTCCATATTAGCTTGAGGAGGAGGCTACGGTATGCTGACGAAACTACATACCCCAAACCATAAACCCGAACCCTGCTCAAGCTGGGCTTGCTTTGGATTAGGCGCACAGCAAGAGGTTCTCCACACATGCAGTACAGCTTCTTATCATTGGCTTGATCTATCTTGCAGCTCCAGATGTCCTCTAGATTGAGATCTAGGGTGTCAAGTTTAAAGCTCGAGGAATAGACAATGCCTTATGAAGCTTTGATACAATCGAGATACAAGTACTGGCCTGCAAGCCAGCTTGCGCAACCTGGGTGCCGGTCATGTAGACCTTCGTTTTGAAGACTTCCGGCAGTGCCAAGGCATTACTGCTGTCAGAGACCAAAGCGCATGTCAGAAGCAACTGCCCAAAACAAGAAGGCAGCTTGGGGCTGAGCACTGGGAAGTGCTGGGCGGCAAACGCAAGGCCGTTCTGCACAATTCGTTGCTGCACTCAGGCATGCAGCCATGAAGTTGGTGTATATTCGTCAGTGCGTATCAGTCAGCAATGTGAAGAAAATGCACTCCAATGACATATTTGCCGAAGTTCACGTAGCTGATGTGGGGGGGGACTTCCTTGGGGGTATGGTATTGTTTCATGCACGGACTATCTTTCATGACGTGTTGGTTCCAGAACCCTGGGCTTTCAAACTCACATCGCGCAAGTGCTCTTGATCTTTCATTCTTCCAAAACGGACCAGTAGCTCAGTGAGGATTTCGGGTCTAGGGTCTAGAAAATCGTT